TTATTTTATCCACAGGAGGAATATTCTGGACATTTTGGACAGTATGAGGAAGGAAATGAAATGTTCTTCACTGAGTTCTCTAGGTTAGCCTATATGTTAATATTATTGTTATCCAACAGAGATGTTCATTCATTAGCACAGAATAAATTATGTGTATCAAACATGCTTAATGAAAGCTTTGTGAGTCAGTTTTAGTATAATTTATTAAAATTAAAATTTAATTTAATTGAAAAGTGATCTATTTATTCTTCTTACATATGGGTTGATTACGATGTTTTTTATTTCTAGGTACCTTGAAGGGACATACCATGTGTCCCTAGCAACAGACATTTTACCTCAGATTAACACTATTGTCAAGAAATGCCTGCTTGGACTCAAAGAGGTGAGATTCCTGCAGAAAAATGTTGTAATACCTAAAAAGTTATGAACACTTTAAGTCAGTGTGAATAGGGTGAAGTTGTCCTTCTCATGAACCATAATGCAAATAGTTTGGCTCGTGCAGCCATATTTAGCAATAAAAACCTAACGGGGTCAGTAAAATTGCTACTGACTGTTGTAGTGGAGAGTTAATCATATAATTTCTAACGTAGGAATTGACGACAGAAGGTCTTGGATATTACAGTTTTCAGCTGTTTGGATTTGATTTCATGATCGATGCTCAGTTCCATGTGTGGCTGCTGGAAGTTAATGGTGCCCCGGCTTGTGCAAAGTAAGATGTTTTTATCATTTAGCTCTACTAACTTAGATCTTTTTTCAGTTTTTAAACTTTTCAGCCAACTTCCTCCCCTCTCAGACTCTGATATCAATAATGTATTACAAAATTTTCTCACATTTTTTCATATCACCATTTTTACTTAAATGCTTCTTTATAATTGATTTGTTTTTCAGTGGAGCGCCTTGTTACTTATTTTGTGTACTAGAAACCCTGCCAAAACTAACTTTTACTGTTGCTGGGTTAATTAGCAATGTCAATGAATCTGTGAACAGTTGACGCTGGAGGTTAGAATAACACCAGAGCAATAGACTTTAAGCATTTTGTTAAGAGTCGTGGTCAGATTAGTAAACTGACCTCTTTTTCTTTTCTTTTAGAGCACTGCTACCAGACCTGGCTCAAGATCTTGTGCAGAAAGCCATTGAGCCAATCTTTCCTACAACTGACAGCACGGAGCCTTGTGACAGCTGTGAATCAGGCGACAAAAAGCAAGACACTTGTAAAGGATTTTTTAAGATCATTTAATTGAAATCATTTGAATGATAACATTGAAATAACAATGACAAATGGCATCTCGCCTGTAAAAATTATTTTATATTGTTTTAAAGTATTTATCTCTGCGTTTATTCATGACTTTCACTTGTGAAAATAGAACACATGATTAGCTGAGAGTAATTAAAGTGATCAACCTTTCCTGTCAGTACTTATGATTTACAATCAGTGTAATACAATGTGCAAAAAAGGACAAGTAAAGGAATGATGTGTGTAAATACCAAGCAGGAATCTATTGTTTTAATGTGTACAACTTATGTTTAAATCTAAATCTAAATCTAAATCTAAATATTATTACTTCGGCAACATCCAGAGGACATCACGCCAACTCTGAAACATTCAGTCGCGAGGGGCCCGAGGTCGGCCTGAGGTCGGCCTGAGGTCTTGTCAGTATGGACCGACTGCAACAAGGTCCGTACAAAAAATATCAAGGGCCGATATTCTCTCTGTTAATAAGAGATTTATTGCATAACTGAAGGACAACGTACACTTCAAGCGCGCTATTTTAATGGGGAGCCGAAAGTGTTCTTTTAGAAAAGTAAGTCGTGAAGCTACAAGAAAACGTACGTACTGCAGTTATCGTATCATGTTGTACAAGTTATGTTTCTTACAGTTTCTTACTTCCTTAATGTCGAGATTTTAATTTCATTAAAAATAATCTACCGCACTTTACACTCAAATTATTCCATTTCAAAAAAAACCTTACTCTATCAGGAGAAGCATTCCACATTACTGCGCCTTTCAATAACATGCGGACTCTAAAATTCAAAGCTCAACTGACAAATGCGTTTTTCGCTACCGTCAATCAAATGTCCGGCGGCTCCTCCCAGCTTCCCACTACTGCCGAGCACTGTTTCGTTGTTAGAACTCTGCTCAACGATTTGATTACCGAGCGCTCGGCAGTCTTCTTATTAAAAGAGTATAGCTGTCTGGATTCGACTCCGCGCCCTCCCCTCCCTCCTTCCACAAAAAAAAAACCCAATCGAAACGTCAAAATCAAAAAAATGTAAACACATGTAAGCAAACTAAACGGGTGTTGTTGCTTTTAGCTATTTGTCTCGCAGTTTTCAATATATTTCCTTTCTGTAAGTCATCTCTCCTTACCCCATTTCAAAATACATTTGCTGTTTTCAAGCTGTGTGGCTGATTTCCCTTTCAGGGGATTTTTGACTTTGCTCAGTTAAGGGCCCATTAACCGAATTCATGCGCGCGCTCGCGCGCGTTGCTAAGGAGGTGAAATTTCACTTCCGGTTAC